GGCAGTTTCCTGTATTCGGTGGTCAATACACTGAATCGCACACAAGATTCTCAGTTTGATGATCAAAAATGGATTATATTACAAAATATCACCAGGCAGTTTCCTGTATTCGGTGGTCAATACACTGAATTCGCACACAAGATTCTCAGTTTGATGATCAAAAATGGATTATATTACAAAATATCACCAGGCAGTTTCCTGTATTCGGTGGTCAATACACTGAATCGCACACAAGATTCTCAGTTTGATGATCAAAAATGGATTATATTACAAAATCAATATTTGATGTGAAGCAATTTCCATTAGGATTTCTTGAGATGTACACCACTTGAGTTGTTTTTGATATAGCCATTATAGATTTATAGAACGACCATTTTGTACTTGTGTACATTATGTACTTTCTGCACCTGAAGCAGAAATAAAACATCAATGCATGAAAGGATTTATTGGAGTGAAGACAAGTTAATTGATAAAAAGTAAATTAAGTTAGCTTCAAATTAGTATACTTGGAATTAATTTTTGCTATTTTCACTGAAGGAATGATTCAGTGAAAATAAAATCCAGTGAATATACAACTCATCAAAAATCTGTGTCAATAAATTTCTTATAAAACACCCTAAAAGTCTTTTCAGCGAAAATTAATTCCAGCTAAAATAAATTATTTTACAGTAAGTTGCAAATGCCATAACTTTCTGATTCAAGATTTGGCCAATTTAGCTAAAATTGAAATGGTATTAATGTTTTGACATACGTACAATACAACTTTTAATCTAGACTATAATACAACATAAATTTATAACAATGGATGTTTTTAATATTTTTCAGGTGGAATGCATGACATTGTAGAGTTGTCTTTACATCGCTATACTACAGGTTTTATTGGGTGCCTTAGGAGTGTTACCCTGGCAACAGATTATCACTTTGATATTATAGCAGATGCAGTTGATGGGAGAAATATTAATCTTTGTACTTGATGATTTCTATGGTTACAGGTATTGGAATTTTTCAGATAAATCATTTCCATCATGTCTGCCTGTAAACTAAATTTCTTTTTTGATAATCAGTCATCACATACTGTATTTTTATGTACCTGTTACTTTTACTGTGGTTTTGTTTACATTTGTTATGCAGGGGCAATATACAAATTGTTTTGTTTTATTGTAGTTACCTTCACAACCTTTGGACGGTGTTGTATGAACTGTTTCTTGTACAGAGGAACAAAGAGGAAATTCTAATGTTTTAATAGTTTTATTAGATAAACTGCAATGTTCTTAGTAATATTTTGTAGCTAAACATTTTAGGTTTAATTGATTTTTAATGAATATATGATTATATTACAACTTTGATTTTTGAGAAATGCTTTGGGTTTTTATGTAGTTTCAAACATTATATGAAGCAAACAGTGTTTGATGTATAACTAGTGTAGTACACCAGTGAGGGCGCTCTTAGTCAAAATAAAAATACAAAGTATATTTTATAACCAATAGGAAAGAAATCTATGATATATAATATAGTATATTTGTTCAAAAGAAAAACTTTTTTGTAGCAGTAATTAAATAAACCCAAACTAGATTGTTATTATGTGACTTATTTTGACCAGAAACACGCGTACCTCTGGTTAATACGCAAAATTTTAATAAAGCAGATACGCTTTTAATGGACAAGAATATTGGGACATTCTTTCAACTGTGCAAGCATAGTTGTGTTATTGCTGATACTAAATACACTGTCTTCTCATGACAGTTTTATTATAAAAAATGACTACATGCATTACCCTTGTTAATGCATGCATTAGTCTCCATTATAAACCTATAATAAAGAAGCAAGCTTTCATTCAATTTGACAGCTGCAAGGTCATCATCGATTTCATGGGAATCAACTAATTGGTATAGCAAACAAACAATGACTGTACAACCAATATTAAAAGAACACATGCATACAAAACTGTTGATGCCATTAATATATAATCAGAGCCAAGATTATTGGCTTCCATACATTGCGCTTATACAGATATTGTAATATGGCAACTTAGTTGCAATATATTTATTTGCTACAATACTTACATACAAATATTATGTGTCTGATTGACACCTGATGTGTGACTTAAAACAATCTGTCAATGCTGTTTTTCCTTTAAATTTGCTCTCAGCAGGTTATGTGCTAATGTTTATCATGTCCACCAGGCAGCCAGGAGATTGTGCGTTTGACTACAGTTGTCGGCTGCACACTCATCAGTGATACTGAGTACATTCTGACAACTTGCCAGGCTTCTGTCATCTCTGGTTGGAAGTCCAGTGTGCAGTTATCTTGGTGCATTTAAAAAAACATCTATATTGCATCAACTAGTAGATCTGTAATTGGGTTTCAAAATAAATGAATAAAAACAAAACAAAAAACTTTAATTATCACTTGTGTCTCCTAAAATCAAACTAAGAGTGTGTTGGATGTGTGTATTTATCTAAAGATTTATCTAGTGCATATTTCCACAGTCTGAAAATCGAGACAATTGAGTATTAAATGTACTAAATATTGAATACAACTATAGCACCGTGTGCCAATTTTGTTCATGTATGATACAATGCACCTTGGGCTATTAACATATAAACAAATTTGTTGAAGATTATTAATATTTATTCAACAATTGTTCTATGGTCGTAAAAAATAAAATAATCTAGACTAAAAGTTAAAAACAGTATGCTAAATAAAGCTAAATAATATTACAAAAAAACACAATATACAATAAATGTGTACAGTACAATACACTAGCTGCTACTGCTAAGAAGTGAAAAATCACATTATAGTCATAACTA